AGATCATGGGACTTCTCAGTAGCTGTCCTGTCCAAGTGTATATGGAAGCTAGTTTCACACTGAGTTCATCAGCCCTAAGATAAATTTTCAGTGATTCCCGTGGTGGATCTTGGTGTCTGCATAATGAGCCACTGTTTAATCTTCCCTGTGAGGAAACTGAGGTTCAGAGGTACAAAGTCTTGTTCATGGCCAGCGTAGAAAGGGGTGAGAGCCTCATTTTGGAGACCCATTTCCTTCCTCCCAAACCTGAACAGAGACCTACCTTTGTTAGAAGTATAGTCTGGGAAGAAGGACCTTTTGTTTAGCAGGTTTTTAAACATAGTCTGCTAGGTTGTCCAGACAGCTCAATCGGTAGAGCAGGAGACTCTTAAACATAGCCTGTTAGGAAGTTGGAATGGTTAAACATGTAGGGAGATTCATAGAAAGCAGAGCTATGGTTACACAAAGGGGGTGGCCCTGAAAACCCAGGCAGAGTGCACTGGCCAGCCTGACACTTCAGCAGCCATCTTTGCAAGCCTTTCCCATCTCTTTCTCTCTAAGCAGCCCTTTCCAGATTCAGTTACCTCCATAAAATTTTCTCTCCTCCCACTTCAGTATAACTCCAATATTGCTCAGCGTGCCCATTCCTGGCACGCCTCCTCATGGCAGCTCATTATGTGACACTGAGACCCACATGGAGGCAGAGGGTTGCTGAAACTTTCTCTCAGGGCAGAAGCACTGGGGAAACCAGCTGTCATGCACAAGTGAACAGGTCTGCTGTCCCATGATCTTTCTGTGGCCTGGCTGGTTTCTCCCCACAGAGCCACAGATTTGAGCATGTTCTTCACAGAAACAGACTTGAGCCACATTTTGCTTATTGTTATCTCCCAGAATGTTTTACTCTGTTAGAAGCTACATGCATCCATGGAACACTGGTCCACTGGAAAAGATCAAAAGGCCTTATTCCAGTTCTCAAGCAGTCTCCACTTTGCTGTGTAACCTTGAGCAAGTCACTAAAAGTCTTGGTTTCTCATCTACCAAATGAGAGTCAGCAATAACTGTCAGCACTTTGCCTCACTGGTAGGAAGGTTAAATCACTGAAAGTGTGTGAGCAATGTACAGATGTATGAAAGCACACAGATGTCCAGTCAACCATGTGGTCTGAAAACGAGTTCCTCTTCCAAGACTTTTCCATGACTAGTCAGAGTCCAATAACACAGATCTCTTCAACATGAATCTCTCCAGCTACCTTCCAGAAGGGTGAAATGTGAGGAGAGCATCTCTGCTATTTGGATTTGTGTACCTCATTACTCCAAAGGGTAACAGTGGACTTTATAACAACACTTGCTAAACTTTGCTGGTGACCTCTGTTTTCTTCTATTCAGATTCTCATTCAACGTACTGAATGACTTGTAGGATGTCTTATGTATAATAGATACTCAGTACCTCAGTTGAGCTAAGGAAATGTATAATATAAAAATGAACCTATGTCATGTATGTAATGTGATGTAAAATGTAAGCTAAGAAAACAGTTCTTACTGAAATAAATTGCCAAAAGGTAATGCTAAGATTATAGTGGAATTTAAAAACTTAATTGGTTAGGGTAAGAGATGCCTTTGTATTCCAGAAAGGTTAAAACTTTCCAAGAATGTGAGTATTCCTATTCCCAGTTCTTCAGAAGTACGGTCCACATCCTAATAAGGTTTGGGGAAAATTCCTCACTAACATTCAGTATGCTGGGTGAACTATGGACATAGAATTTAGTCAAAGCATGTGGGTGGGAAGAATCTTTAATCTCAATATAATTACAGCAGCCACAGGTCAGCAAAGCAATATTTCTTAGTTTGTAGCAGATAAACCTTTTTCTGAGGAATTCTCAGCAACATCTAAATTAACCAGAACTTAATAGAGTGTAGACACCACTTCATATAATTAGTACCAACCTCCTCCCCGCCTTTTTTCTCTCTGCTTAAGTCAAAGAGAAAATGGGCTTTTAACAGGAATTTATGTGAATGAATTTCTGGGGTTGTTCCAAAATCAAATGATAGGTTGGTTTCCTATAGCTTCAATTTTATATCTCTATTGCTGTATGTGACAATTGAACCTAAGAATGATGAACCCATTTCCAATAAAAAAGATTATGTTTGCTATAAGTGTCATAAACGTATACATATAAACAAGAGCATGCATTCCAGAACTTGACTTCCCATGGGGACTTTCTGAGGGGGTGTCTGAGTTAACAAAGTGCCTTTTTTTATATAGGTGTCAAAAATTGAGTGGTAAAACTACTGCATTTTTCTTTTCATTTTCAGATGTACTGCCCAGGAAAGGCATAGAGAAAAGGGACTTATTTCCTTTAAAATTGATGTTATTATGGAAACTCTATAATATTGCAATTACAGTTGTAGTTTTCAATCATGGGAAAATATATATTAGCCAGACTTTTATGATTGGCGTGGGGAAATAAATCCTGAATCACAACCATCAAGTTAAAAATAAAACTTCTTGCCCAGCCAGTGTGGATCAATGGTTGAGCGTTGAACTATGGACCAGGAGGTTACATTTCGATTCCTGGTTGAGGCACGTACCAGGGTTGTGGGCTCGATCCCCAGTAAGGGGCATGCAGGAGGCAGTTGATCAATGTCTCCCTCTCATTGATGTTTCTATCTTTCTATCACTTCCCCTTCCTCTCTTTCTAAAAATCAATAGAAACATATTAAAAAGATAAAAATAATTTGTTTTCCATTTGGGGGCATTTTAGTTTGTTTATAAGTCAGAAAGAGTTCCTTTTATATGAAGGTAAATAAGTTGACTAATACAGTTTAGAAAGATTTTAAACAAGAAGAACTTACAGGACTCTAATCATTAAATTAAAATCCCTATTTCGGTAAGGTTTTTTGAATATCTAATACTATGTTAATTGATGACCTTAATAGTTACAACATTGGTTAGAAGCTTTGATATCTTCAACTCACATCATGTATTATACTTCATTTTTATGACAATTAGAGCCAGGTTGTTTAAAGGAAAGTGTAAGCTAAGGGACCTGATCTCACTCCTGTAAACCGCCTTGCTCACCAACATAAATGAGATGGCAGTTTGCCACAACTTTCCCATTTGGCCCACATAATTCTTCTATTTCCCAAATAACTTCCCCTTCAATGAAGCCTACTGCTCTACTTGCATAGGATATAAATCCTTTGTCAGTTATCTATTTGTTAGTGTTTGTGATTAAAGATATTAACCATGTTCACAAACAAATATTCTTTAAAATGTGTGATTAGTTTATGATTCCTGTTTATCCAAGGAATATAGCTTATATAAATCCTGAACAAATAATTGCCTTTCCAGGTGGCAATAAGAAACTTTTATCAGTGTGATTCAGAATTATTGAGCCTAGAAATACCAAGATTCAATGTTACAAGATAATCATTCCTGTTATATTTATGATTCAATAATATTAACCCAAAACATTCTCTCTGATTCTAGCCTGCAGCAAGGGATGGGAAGAAAGGTATCAGCTACTGAGTTGGCTTGCCTGTAGGTGCCATGTTGCATAAATACACATGCCAGACTTGAATCTTTAGAGTTTCAATGTCCATTATGATTGCCTTATGCACATGTGACACGTGAGCACTTGAAATATGGTTGGTCCAAATGGAGATGTGCTGTCAATGTGAAATCACACCCGACTTTGACATTTTTATATAAAAATAGAGAATGCAAAAGATGTCAATAAGTTTTACATTGAGTGCACATTGAAATGATAATATTTGAAGATAATTGGCTTAAGAAAAAGAGGTTAATTTCACCTGTTTATTTTTCCTTTTTTAATGTGGATGCTAGACAGCTTAAAATTACATGAGTGGCGCATGCTTCTGTGAGGCAGCAGGGAGCTTCTGCCGGGTGTTGCTAAGGAGCTGGGAGCAACTGAAGGGAGCAAAATGGAGTCCCACCTTAGCTTAAGGGCAGTTACTTGGAGACAGAGAAAGCATAGCTGTCCCTCTGTTTAGGTTTCCATCTCTCAAATTCTTTTGAGGCTAGTTAAATGGGACCTCACTGAATACAGATTTCTAAACTGAGTTTGTCCATCCCAGTACCCAAATAAAGTGTCAACTGCGATCTTCATTGATACAATGGCTAATGTTCTATAGCACTGGGTACAGTGCTTGTTCTAAATGCTTTTATGATCACCCATTTCATCCTCTCACCAGCAAGGTGAGGCAGGTACTATTTCTACCTCTGTTTGAACAGATGTGGACTTGATACTCTGAGACATTAAGTAATTTGCTCAAGGTCACACATCTAGAAGTTGACCTGTACAGTAGGATTCCCCGGATTTCGGCCCTTAGCCATGATGCAGTGCTATCCTCGAAGACAAAATCTCTTCTTGATGCTTTAACACATTAGTATGCATGCCTCTCCATCATATAACAATGGTGTCAGTGTTTTCTCCACAGCTTAGATGTTGTTCAGTAATGTAACAGCTAAGATTTAAAAATATTTACTGTGTCAGAAATTGGGGACTTAGTGTAAGGTCATGAATGATCCAACTTCTTGTTTTTCCCTAAAGTTGCCCCCAAAAGCATACCATAGTTCAGTCTATTTTAAAATGTAGGTAGCTTGATTCCAATGAAATAAATATGAAGTACCTACTATGTGCCAAACACATTGCCAAGTACTGGGGACACAGAGATAAAGATGATAAATTCACAAATGGTTCTGGTCTAGGGAACCTAAAAGCACCTTCCTGCAATACAGTGTTGAGGCTCGTGTGTTGTAGGAATGAAGGAGCAGCACATTACACAATTTGGGGTTCAGGGTGGAGCTGTAGTAGTCAAGAAATCTTCTAAGAGGAGGGAGTGCTTAAGCCATCTTACCATACCTCCCACTAGTTCCTGGGGTTTGATTTATATTGCATGAAGACCATTGTTAATAATGACAGCTGAGGTCAGTGTACTAGTAAGTGTCTGAGTCTCTTGGGTGGTTGAGAGCACTGATTCCATTTGTTTGGTTTTCAGGTACCAGTAAGGTCAACCTCGTGAAGATCCCGTCCACAGCCTCCAGCCCGAGAGACACAGCCCTGGCTGCTGTTATCTGCAGTGCTTTGGCTACTGTCCTGCTGGCTCTGCTCATTCTCTGCATCATCTATTGTAAGAGACAATTTATGGAGAAGAAACCCAGCTGTAAGTTTTGAGCTCTTTCTATTTCTTAGCATTGGTGAAGTGCAATTATCATCATTGTCGTTTTCGTGTTCCACAAGAGACTTGAATAAGAAGAGAATCAAGGAGCTGTTTAAGGGACAGAGAGCACATGAAAAGAGATCTCACAGTCTTTTGTCACAGTCTTTTTAGCCTTGAGGGAGCAGACTGATGGGTGGCAGAGATGTCCCTGTGCCACTAGGCAAAAATAAAAATTACTCTAAGTGCTGGCAACATAAGTACTTTCCATTTCAAGCTTTCTTAACAAATTATTTCACACTAGATGCCCAGTGCACAAAGTTTGTGCACTGGTAGGGTCCCTAGTGGCTGCCAGCTGCTGGCCAGGTACTCCCTCCCTTCCCCTGGTCGCCTGCCACTGCCACTGCCGCTGCTGGCCAGGGCCTCCTGTCACCGCCGCTGCTGGCTGGGGCCTCCCTCCCTTCCCCCGGCTGGCCCCACCCCCCTGGTCGAACTCTCAGATGACCTCCCGGTCGAGGGGACAATTTGCATACTATACTTTTATTATATAGGATTTGTGCCTTCGTGTAAGAAGAAATATTTTAAAATGTGAATGATAGCCTTCTTTTAAAAAAAATACAAATGCTAGGATGGTACTTGTCTGTATTATGATGTCCTTTAAAGAGGAAATTGTCTTTACTGACAGAATTCTCACCCCCTCCTTTAGGGTCTCTGAGAGCACAGGACATTCAGTACAATGGTTCTGAACTGGCCTGTTTTGACAGACCTCAGCTCAATAACTCTGCTCCCAGAGCCTGCTGTCAGTGCCACCGGGACTTAGCCCAGACCTGTGGTAAGTTCAGACAGTTACGAATCCTTTAGGGAAACCAGAGGAATGACATTGAAGCTGCAAAGAACTGTTCTGTTCCTGTTTGTCCCACAGCTAGGTTGCTCCGCTTGGTTTCTACTTAAAGCTAATCTTGTTAAATAGTTATTCACTCCCTAACCTGTTTGGCTCAGTGGATAGAGCATTGGCCTGCGGACTGAAGGGTCCCAGGTTCGATTCTGGTCAAGGGCATGTACTTTGGTTGCGGGCACATCCCCAGTGGGGAGTGTACAGGAGGCAACTGATCGATGTTTCTCTCTCATCGATGTTTCTAACTATCCTTCTCCTTTCCTCTCTGTAAAAAATCAATAAAATATATATTTTTAAAAATATTCTCCACCGTACTCACATGTTTGGTGTGTGTTGTGCCACTTAAATATTAAGAAGAAAATAATGATCAAAATCCTGAAAGTTTTCAGCAAATTTGTCTTTGTTGTTTTGAGTCAGTTAATCTAAAACACTATCAACTTTTTGTAGAGGAGGACTTTGTATCCCTTCCTTTCTAGTGGGTTCACACCTAAAGTTCATGTATCCACCTTAATGCCTTGGATTTCTTAAGGAAGAAGGAGAAAGCTCTATGACAGGGTTTTCCACAAACCATAATTGCCTGTTAGGTTATTGACAGAAATAAAAGTTCAGGGAAATAATTCAAATGGGAATTGGTTTCTGATGTGGGCAAAATGGGCAAAGGTAGTACCAACTTTCTTTGCCACTTATTTATATTCATTAACACAAGGTTTCTGCACTTACACTCCCCACTCCTATCCCCACTATAATGACCTTATCTCCTCTGCAAAGTAAAATTTGATGTGTCCAGCAACCCTTTCTAGAAACCTGCTCTAGCCTCCCTCCTCTCTCCTCACTTCCCAATTCTCTTAGCACCTTTGAAGCAATACTAACATCACCTTTTGTCTCATTCTTTAAGTGAAATGTATCCTGATGAGATGGACTTATTCTCTTGGCACTGTTTAATTTTTCTTTTCAAGAAATTGCAGGATTGAGCTTTTTGATCTAATATCTCATATGTGGCATAAGGAGTTTTCAACATAATTATTTTTCTACTGATCATAACTATATTCTATTTTAGGAATATATTTAAGAATGAAATGTAAGACTTTGTGGTGTGTGGGGATCTATTTTTGCCTCTGCCTACGCTGATAATAGACCCTTAGACAGCTACCAATAGCTACTGGATCCTCAAAATGCCCCAAGCATTGTTTCCTAGATACTGTACCATGACATTGACACAGAATCAGAGTGAGGGATAATTTCTTAAGATAGAAATTCAAATTTTAAATATAATAAAATACAGCATTGTACAAACTCTGCCTCACCTGAACTTCTGTCTGAAAAGGAAGATTAAATATATAGATAGCCTTGTTTCATGTCCTCTTAGAATGCTGAGCTTAATCCCCCCATGCTAATGCCTAGGTTCAGTACAGTTTTCCATTTAAATCACTTCCTCCTTAGTAACGTGCCTTTTTTCTTTTAACTTTTTATTTTAACATGTTTTTAGACTTATAAATATGTTGAAAGACTAGGACAAAAAATTCCCCCATACCTTTCACTCAGATTCCCTAAATATTAACATTTATCTCATCTGACATTTACTTTATGATTTTTATCTCTCTCTCTCTCTTAAGTGGTGTGTGTATGTATATATATATATTCATACATGTTTTGTATATTTTTTTAAAAATATATTTTATTGATTTTTGTACAGAGAGAAAGGGAGAGGGATAGAGAGTCAGAAACATCGATAAGAGAGAAACATCGATCAGCTGCCTCCTGCACACCCCCTACTGGGGATGTGCCCACAACCCAGGTACATGCCCTTGACCGGAATCGAACCTGGGACCTTCCAGTCCGCAGGCCGACGCTCTATCCACTGAGCCAAACCGGTCAGGGCTGTTTTGTATATTTTGCATATACACACACATTTTTGCATGTGTATATATACACATATATATACACTTTTTTTTCACTTGCCATTTAAAAATCATTTGCAGATATAATGTCCCTTTACCCTTTATTACTTTGGTGTTTGTTTTCTAAGAACAAGAACATTCTCTTACATAAAGCATGCTTATTAAATCAGGAAAGTAACATTAAATCTATTGCTATTATATAATTTACAGAATATATTCAGATTTTCCTAATTGTCTCAATCATGTCCTGTGTAGCAAAAGAAAATCCCAGATAACACTTATTTATTTGTCCTGTCTCTTTACTCTCATTTAATCTGGAATATTTCTTTAATCTTCCTTTGCATTTTATGACAATATTTTTGACAAAGGCAGGCCAATAATTTTGTAGAATGACCCTCAGTTTGGGTTTTCTCATTTTTTTTTATGATCAGATTCAAAAATACCACAGAGGTGATGTTGTGTATTTCTCAGTGCCCCATATCAGGAGGTACATCTGTCTCATTTCGGTCAGATTAACTAGGGTCACTTTGTTAAGGTGGTGTCTGCAAGCTTTCTCTGCTACAAAATGATCATTGTTTTTGGTAATTAATGAAACTTCGCAAGAGATTATTTGAGATTATGTAAACATCCTATTGCTTCCAAACTTTGGCCCAGTAGTTTAGCATTCTCTGATGATTCTTACCTGAGTCAGTCATTAGTATAATGGTTAACAATTGCTGATTTTCTAATTGCATCATTCTTTCTACATTTATTAGTTGGCATCCTATGGTCAGAAAGAATTTCCCCTTCTTCCCATTTATTTCTTTAATTAGTGTGGACTAATGGACCCCATTCAATGGGTTACAATCCTTTGCAATCATTTATTTTGATGCTCAAATTTTCCTAGATTTGGCAAGTGGAAGTCCCTTTAGGCTCTTTCATGCTCATCTTATACTTTCCCTGATTGAGTCCTAGAACCAGCCATTTCTATAAGGAATGGGAGTGCCTTTTGCTTTTAAATAATTTTGAGAAATTCCACAGTGAGCATGACACATGTTTGTTGAGTTAATTGGTAGTGAATCCAAGTGAGTTCTTCATGGTCATAATAACACGTATTCAGACAGCACAAGGTGTGGTCTGTTTGAGAGAGATTCAGGTGAAAGTATGTTGGGTGTCTGTCCTGCTTAACACTGGTTTGCAATTGTATCTCAATATATTTTCAAAAGGGAAATATTAGTTTCATATTATTCTCCTGTTTATAAAAGTAAAGAGATAATCCTCATGTTAAGTTTGAATATACATAAACATATATGTACATGTAAATATATAATTACTTCAAGTCTTTTTCTCTATATTTATGTGTATCTTTGTATTTGCCTGTATGCTTTAGTATGTTTATGGTTTTATAAAATTAGAATTATATGTGTATATATAGAGAGAAAAGTCTAGCTGTTCACCAAATATTGACAGTGTTTATTTCTAGTTTATAGGGCTAAGGAAGATTTTTTTTTTAAATTTATCTAATCTCTCTTTATATCTAAATTTTTTCTTCAATAAATTTAAGTGTACAGTTCAGTGGATTAAGTACATTCACATTATTGTGCAGCCATCACCACCTATCCATTTCCAGAACTTTTCCATTTTTCCAAACTGAAACTCTGTATCCATTATACACTAACTTCCCATTCCCCCTCCCCCAGCCCCTGGCAACCACCATTCTACTTTGTCTCTATGAATTTGACTACTCTAGGTATATAATATAAATGGTTCATCATTTTTTTAAAAAGATAAAAACAGAGAAAAAAATTAAGACTCATATTCCCATTCCCCAAAAAGTTACCCAAAGGGGAATAGTTCAAGTTTCAAGAACGATGTTGAACTGGTATTAAAGAGAACATTCCCAGGAAAAGCATTATGCTTCATACCTCTGCTGTCTTTCCTAGGGCCTGTTCACTTGATCCCATCCTTGTGCTGTGATGACTCCTGCAGTATCGACCAGGTGACTCTTGGTTGCAGGGTGCATTCCCGGGCCACACTTCAGGAGAGGTAACTGGGTATTTTTTAAGCAATATAATTTCATAATCCTTGTGCAAATATGCATTACATTCATTTACCAATTTTCATGTGAAACATTTAAAAATGTTTCATGAGGGCATCACTTTTTAATATCATTAATGCCATTCTGGTCATTGGAGGGGGCATGTGTTTGGCACGAATTAGGTAAGTCTCTCAGGGTTACTAATATCCAATACAACATTTTTTATACTTTACCCTCAATTTTATTTTATTTTTTAAAATATATTTTTATTGATTTCAGTGAGGAAGGGAGAGGGAGAGATAGAAACATCAATGATAAGAGAGAATCATTGATCAGCTGCCTCCTGCACACCCCCTACTGGGGATCGAGCCCGCAACTCCTGGCATGTGCCTTTGACCGGAATCGAACCTGGGACCCTTCAGTCCACAGGCTGACGCTCTATCCACTGAGCCAAACCAGCTAGGGCCCCTCAATTTTATTTTTGTCTTATACTCATTATTTGTGACACTTCTGCCATCTGCAAGTAATTTTTAACATGTCATGTACTCATAGAATTTTAGAACAGCCTTCAAATTCAGTTAAGACCCAGGAAACTGCATGTTTTAGACATTGTATTAAGTATAACTACATTGATTAAAACGAAGTATATTAAATTTTAAAGTAATTGGAGGAATTAAGCTTATTGTATTAAAGCAAGTTTATAACAACTGGAATTCTGACAATAAATTGCTATTTCATCTAGAAAACTTGAAAGTATTGTTGGAATGTTGCTTTGTAGTCATGGTTTTTCTCCCTATAGAACACTTAAAAGTCTTTTGAACATGTGTTCAGAAATGCAGGTCCGGTGGGAGAGACCATGCCGTCTTTCTTCGGGTCCCTTTCTCAGTTCATCTGTGGCGAGTTTTCGGATGCCTGGCCTCTGATGCAAAATCCCATTTATGGTGATGATATCTCCTTTTGTGACTCTTATCCTGAACTCACTGGAGAAGATATTTATTCTCAAAATCCAGAAAATGAATCCTTGGATTCAAACAGTAGTCAGGATTTGGTTGGTGGCGCTGTTCCAATTCAAGCTTCTTCTGAAAACGTTACACAAACTACTGATTTGTTTAGATACAATTCACTGATAGAACCAGTGCGAACTCAGGATGCCCTAATTACTAGAAGCCAGCTAGGTCAAACAAGTGGGGATATCATTAACCGAACCACTCAAACTCAGACATCCTTCCAGGTAAGGCAATGACTGATTTTACTGTGGACAAAGCATTGACTTTTGGAAGACCATAGGGAATGAATTCTGTTCCTACCACAATATGTGGGGGAACCTGATGAGAAAATTTGCCATCTTTCATAACTTCTTGTGTGTTAAAGAATATATACTTTTTAATTTTTTTCAAATTTATCTTTATTGTTGAAAGTATTACAGATGTTCCCTTTCTCCACCCCCCATTGACCCCCTATACCTTGTTCCAGCCTCTCCCCAGATCTTCCCCACACTATTGTTTGTCCATGGGCTATGCATATATGCATAACAATTCTTTGGTTAATCTCTTCCAGCCCTCCCCGCTTCCCTCTCAAATACCTCATTCTGTGGCATACTTCAATGTCTCTGGATGTTTTTCATTAATCAGTTTATTGTGTTCATTCGATTCCACATATGAGTGAGATCATGTGATACTTGTCTTTTTCTGACTGGCTTATTTCATTTAGCATAATACTCTTCAGGTACCTCCATGCTATCTCAAATGGTAAGAGATCCTCCTTTTTTACAGCTGTATAGTATTCCATTTGTGTAAATGTATGACCGTTTTTTTAGCACTGCTATGAACATAGGGGTGCATATATTCTTTCTGATTGGTGCTTCTGGCTTCTTAGGATATATTCCTAGAAGTGGGATCACTGGGTCAAATGGCAGTTCCATTCTTTTAATTTTTTAAGGAAACTCCACACTGTTTTTCCATAGTGGCTGTACCAGTCTGCATTCCCACCAGTGGTGTACTAAGGTTCCTTTTTTTCTACATCATTGCCAACACTTCTTGTTTGTTGATTTATTGATTGTAGCCATTCTGGCAGCTGTGAGGAGGTACCTCATTGTGGTTTTAATTTGCAGCTCTCTAATAATTAGTGATGTTGAGCATTTTTTCATATGTCTCTTGGCCATCTGTATGTTCACTTTGGAGAAGTGTCTGTTTAGGTCCTCTGCCCATTTTTTAATTGGTTTGTCTTCCTTTTGGTGAGTTGTATGAGTACTTTATATATTTTGGAAATTAACCCTTTATTAGATGTATCATTAGCAAATATGTTCTCTGGTACAGTGGGTTTCCTTTTCATTTTGATACTGATTTCTTTTGCTGGGCAGAAGCTTTTTAGTTTGATGTAGTCACATTTGTTTATTTTTTTTCTTTGTTTCTCTTGCCCTAGGCATTGTATCTGTGAAAATTCTGCTACATAAGATGTCTGATATTTTGCTGCGTCTATTTTCTTGTAGGATTTTTATGATTTCAAGACTTCCATTTAAGTCTTTTGTCCATTTTGAGTTTATTTTTGTGTTTGGTTAAGTTGGTGGTCTAATTTCATTTTTTTGCAAGTATCTGTCCAATTTTCCCAACACCATTTATTGAAGAGACTGTCTTTACTCCATTGTATGCTCTTGCCTTCACTGTCAAATATTATTGAGCATAATGGCTTGGGTTGATTTCCAGGTTCTCTGTTCTGTTCCATTGGTCTATATGTCTGTTCTTGTGCAGTACCACACTGTTTTGATTACAGTGGTTTTATAGTATAGCTTGATAACTGATATTGTGATCCCTCCAACTTTGTTCTTTTTTTTTTTAAGATTGCTGCAGTTATTTGGGGTCTTTTTTGGTTTCATATGAATTTTTGGAATATTTGTTCTAGATCTGTGAAATATGCCATTGGTATTTTAATAAGGATTTCATTGAATCTGTAGATTGCTTTGGTTAGTATGGCCATTTTAATGATGTTAATTCTACCAATTCATGAACACAGTATATTCTTCCACTTGTTTATATCTTCTACTATCTCTTTTTTCAACATCCTATAGTTTTCTAAGTACAGGTCTTTTACCTCCTTGGTTAAATTTATTCCTAAGTATCTTAATTTTTTGTTGCAATGGTAAATGAGATTGTGGGGTTTTTTTAGTTTCTCTTTCGGATAGATCATTATTGGTGTATAGAAGAATATACTGTATTTTAAATTAAATTCTAAGAGTTTTCTTTTAAACTCACAGCTAATGTATAAGGCCATAAAGGGCAGCTACATTTTTTTATTCGTCTTTGTAAATCCAACTACAGTTGACTCTTTTTAAAAAAATATATTTTATTGATTTTTTACAGAGAGGAAGGGAGAGGGATAGAGAGTTAGAAACATCGGTGAGAGAGAAACATCGATCAGGTGCCTCCTGCACACCCCCCACTGGGGATGTGCCCGCAACCAAGGTACATGCCCTTGACCGGAATCAAACCCCGGGCCCCTTAGTCTGCAGACCAACGCTCTATCCACTGAGCCAAACCAGTTAGGGCTACAGTTGACTCTTGAACAATGTGGGACTTAGGGCCACAACTCCCTGCACAGTAGAAAATCCAAGTGTAACCTTAGACTCTCCAAAATATTAACTACTGATATAGCTTATCACAGGGATGGCTAACAGTAGGTTTACAGTTGTTTGTATAGAAAATAACACAATAATTAATAAATAATAATACAAGAATAAACTTTCCCATACTAACAACTGTAAACCTACTTTTGCCTACCTCTGTATTGACTGGAAGTCTTATCGATAATATAAAGCATAGGTTAATATATATTTTGTATAATAGGGTTTATGTAGGTGAGAGAAAAGAAAATGTTATTAAGAAAATCCTAAGGAAGAGAAAATATACTTACAGTACTATACATACGTATTGAAAAAAATTCACATATACATGAGCCTGCACAATTCAAACACGTGTTGTTTAAGAGTCAATGCTACTTAGCACAGTGCCTCCTGGCTCCATTCCTGGTTGAGAGAAAAGAGTTAGTTATAGGAGAATCTTGCAAGTAGTTTCTCACCTTTGTTCTTCCCTGTAATATTCTTATGCCCAGTACTTAAAGGCACTTCATTCAATGTGAAGTTCATGAGAATTTAGGTCTCCTAAAGCTATACTTTTCCTTCCTCTCTGCTCTGACTGCCTGACCGGTTTGGTTGGAAATTGTCGGTTGTGATCTGAGACTAAATGCCGCATAAACCGTGGGTAAAAGGGTTTAAAATAAGGTTTGGGGAGGTGGCGACTGCGGGCATACGGGTCTCTCTGGCATGCTGCAAGACCGGAGGCAGAGAAGCACTCAGGGACACCTGGGCACTGACCCTGCTTTTTCCTCCAGGCAAGGATGTGGCCCTTGCTGAGTTTGACTTAATGTTTAATATTTCCTTAATATAAGCACATATATTGTTGGTATACATTCTTCCGGAAGAATGACGCCAGCCTTGAGTATGAAAGGGCAGAGTCGCAGAACAGTGAGGCTCCCAGGCCCCACAAGACCAGCGTTGCTCTCCCTCTGTGCCCCTCCTGGCCCAGTCAGGGGCCTGGGTACTGAGGCAGCACTATGGGACATGCTGCATGTGCTCCTGAGTGAACCCTTGTCTACGCAGATCAGGAACATGCTAATGTCAAAGTGTAGATGGAGATGTATTCCTTTTAGGTTGTATATTAGTCTAAATCTGCAGTACTTTTTTTTTTAACTTCAAGCACATTCTATAGGCATTTATAGGGAATTTTATACAAAAACATTTGTTGTCTCCGGAGCAAAAATAAATTGTTTCTCAAAAAAAGAAAATGAAGAAAAGATAAGTAAGAGAAAGAAAAAAACAAACAAATTAGACAATTTAAAAATGATGATGGAATAAAATAAATTTTTAAAAAATGCATACCTCTGTAGTTGGGAAAGACTTTTACTGACATTGTTCTCTTGAGCCATCCCTAATTTTAATAACTTTCATGATAATAAGAAAAGACTTAAGAGTTAGCTTAGCCCTAGCCAATTTGGCTCAGTGGATAGAGCGTCGGCCTGCGGACGAAATGGTCCTAGGTTTGATTCTGGTCAAAGGCATGTACCTCGGTTACAGGCTCCTCCCCGGCCTGGGCCCTGTTCAGGGCTCGTGCGGGAGCAACCAATCAATGTGTTTCTCTCACATTGATGTTTCTCTCTGTCTTTTCCTCTCTTTCCCTCTCTCCCTAAAAATCAATGGAAAAATATCCTTGGGTGAGGATTAACAATAACAACAACAAAAAAATAGTTAGCTTAGCTGAGGGTAGGTCTCAAGGATGGCTGTGGCCCACAAACCTTTGGGGTTGAGGACTCCCAGCAGTCCAGAGCAGGTAACTGGCCTTACAATAGGTTAGAGATGCATGGAGAGGCCTCCACCCCCTTCATAACTAATCTCAGTATCCCAATGGGATGCCTTGCCAGGTACTCCAAAATAAAAGTCATAGAACTCTTAGAGTTTAATGCATTCCATTTTCAGTACAAGATGTTGAAGTTTCTTTTATATCAATTCAATTGGCATTGATATCAAACTTGTTTGTGTTACCATCACAAATATCTATTACATCTCCCCATACATCATTAGGGAAAAGTCTGAGTAACTAAAATGACTGTGCTACCAGCTCACTACTGGTATTTCAGAGTATTGTCAGTAAATAGAATTACCACTCATCTTAATTTTGTAGCTTGTCCCCAATTCTGTGATGTAAATACTAAGGAATGAAACATTTTGATACCAAGTTATATAAAACCCAACTCATTCTCTACCTTTTTCTGTTTATGTTGTTGGTGAGGAGGACATAGGGTTGATAGGCACTATAATCACAGTTAAATTAACGTAAAATTTTAGAAATGTAGTTTAGTATATAAGTGGGTATAAAATGACATTAATTCCTTTTCAAAGAGTGTTATCAAGGTGATTATGATCTGCATAAAGTTATTTTCAACACAAATTATTATGGAAAGTTATACATGAAATGGATGAGGAAGCGTTACATTCAAGTTACACAATGTAATTTATTAATGAAAGGTTCTTATCTACACTAATAAAAGAGAAACATGGTAATTAGCGTACGACCGCTACCCTTCCCATTGGCTAATCAGCATATCCTTATACAAATTAACTGTCAGCCAAGATGGCGGCCGGCAGCCATGCACTGAAGCGA